CCTACCCAGCCTTAATTTTTTACTCCTTCCATTTCTTTTACTACGCCTACCACCTACATTCCTTCTTTCTTTCCTCTCTTATTCACGCCTTACCATCTACGCCTACCAAGCCTAACCTCTATTTGCCTTGTGCATTTCTTTCTACTTTTCCCTCCTCCGACTTAAGTCTCTTCTCTTACTTTTTATTTCACGCCTACAAATTCAACATCTACCCTACGCCTTTTTTCGCGGACACTCATGGCTCATGGTGGCGTGTATCGGCTTTCTGATCTGTTTGTGAGCCGCCTTGCTGCCCGTTCAAAGGCGTGCCCATTTTTCGGCTTGTGAAAAGTGGTGGCTGTCAAGTGGTGCTTTTCCGTCGCCTATGTTCACGCCTTTTGTCCTCGCCTATCAAGTCTCCCAAACTCTTTCGCCTAGTCTATCAACTCTGACAGGCCGAGACAATGGCCACTTTATACCTGCATGTTCTGTATATTCTTCATGTCGCTACCCTACCCTAGTGATTGCTCACCCAATCACGGCTCTAGCACAAGGAAAAGAACACTGATTCTCACACGTCAGTGTTTCCCTTTTGCTGAGTTTTACCCAATAGGAACGAAACTAGATAGTTTGTAAACGACTGAATGGCACTTTTCGTTTTCCCCTGTCCCGCACACTTGGTTTGTCTTGGACACTCTGCGCAAACTTGCTACACGCCTATTACCCTCGCCTACCTCCTGTTTCTTGCTTCGTAACACATCCGAGGAGATCTTTTTGTGGACAGGTCACGAGTGCATAACCATGTGCCATCCACCAACGGCAAAACAAAGTTGACAATAACATCTCAAAATTCTCAACGACCCCCACCATCGTATTTTAACTCCTCGAAGTGCCATTGTTGACGATACGTTGACTTGACCGCCTAGGGGAGGAAACTACTGCGATATTCACTGGCGTAACCGGCCGTAGATTCATTCATGCCAGAATGCATGTACAATTCACTCTAGACTTCTATTACACCGGAGCATCATTTGCTCTGTATATTTGCAATACTTAAACGTAGTCTAAATTTCGGCAAATCAACGACTTTGATGGTACAGTATCTTTATAATTTTATTAGTTCAGAGTCAATTCCAAACATTTACTTCGAAGTACATTAGGGAGAGTCAGTTTAGAAAAACCTTTGATTTTCGTTTTGAAAAGTGCTTTTGGTTTTGAAAATCAAACGCAACTTGAACTTGGAGTGGACAGTACAATACATCAGCCAATCATATTTCTCTAAACAACTGGCATAGAATGCGCACACAGCCAACAATGCCATCAGCGAACCACGGCGCCATGGACAACGCAAAGCGAGCCATGACCACGCGAGCCGAGCGCCTTGCGATGTTGAAGTTCCTGCGCGTTCCGAAGCACTTTGCGCTGATGACGGACCAGGCCACGAAAGGGAAGGCAATGAAGGGTGGCCAGCGCTTGATGAAGGCGCATGGCCACAGTTTGATGGCGCAGTACGTCAACTAGTTCATGGGCGACGGCAGTCGCGCGTGGTCAGCGCAAGACGCGAAGTCGAGGTACAGAATCACATGTAAAGTTCGTTCTCATTCTATGCCCCATATAGATACGATTCATACATTAGTATGTATAGGCGAGCGTTGAAATGGACTGGGGCGAACAGCAGCGGTCGCGGATTGACTGAGCAAGACTTCAAACGAAGTAATCACAAAATACATACCAGATCTCACACAATAGTAGAAATCTTTACCGTTGAAAGTAAATTGGATAGCATTTGCCCGTACTACAACGACATGAATGCGCTCTTTGGAGAACGCCAGAACTTCCGTCCGTCGTACACCCTGGAAACCAACAACCATGGTAGACTACATATTTTTGCGAACACTTTCAAGTTCATATGTTAAGGTGTGTCTTTATTAATATGTACAAAGTTGATGGTAGCCAAACCTTGGACAACTCGTTTGTTGCGGACGACTCGGACGACAACGACGCCAAAGACGGCGAGCAACCTGGCAATGACCCCGACAGCGACGAGTACTGGGCGCAGAACGATGTTGAGGACCCAGGTCGTACCGATGCCGACGCTGCTGTCGGTGGCAAAGCCAACAAACGTCCGGATGTCCCCCGTGTGTTTCCGACCCCGGAAAAGCGGCTTACGCCGCGGAAGGATTTTTCGTCTATTTACATGGACGCACAGATTCAAGTAAACGCTCTCGAACGAGAGAAATTCGAGTACCAGAAGGAGTGTGACCGCGTCATTCATGCTACTGCTGCCTCTGAATTGTTACAGTGTGTTGTAGGATCAGGAGTTGTGGATGTAGAAAAGATTCGCGTGCTAGTTGCTATTGCATTCCCTGCAGAATAAAAGAAAATTGGAACATTCCAAATGCATTCTTGATGATTAACCAATAAACACACAACAACATGTGACACTGCAAGTGAATTTATTGCGATGTTAAGCCGAGAAAGACTAAAAGCTCAGCCATTTTCGTAATACATTTGCACGTCGTCATCACCATTTCGGAGGCGGTTCACGATGTTGTGCAGCACGCAGCAGGCCAAAGTCCAATCACAGGCAAACTTGACATCTTGTGCACGTCGGATGTCGACAGGCAGAGCGCCAGGCTCGACCATCTCCCCTTGAGGAGGCCATTACCGTGCTCGCATACAACTCGCAGGCTGGCGTGACCGGTGTTGAAGGTGTCGTTACCGTCTTGGTGTGCTGCCGGCAGCCGGTAGGGTATGAAGGCGAATCCAGAATCACCGGCTTGGTACTGGTTGGGGTCAAAAAACGAGCGCGGACGCAGGAACGGTGCTGACGATGCCCACACCGTCGAGTCGTGGACACTCCCCGGCCATCCTGCCACGACATGACGGATTTGCCGACGGAAATCAAACGTCAACAGAACATTCATTGAATATTCTTTCTTTCGACTGTAATATACCTCGCCATGCAGTGCTGGCTTGCGATATAAAACAACATGTGTGCCATCAGTTGACAAAATACAGTTACGAAATCCATAACGTTCTGCATTGTACATGGCTAATTGGCTTCGTTCAGATGAATTAGGCCACATAATTTCCGATTGTGACAAAGATACAAATGCATGAATAACACGCTGTGTGTAAACGTGCACAGTTCCACTCCCAATACCTTTGGCCCTCGACACCATACCAACTGAAGCACCGGTACCATTGTAACCAAGACGGTGCAAGGCGCATGCTAGCTGCACCCACACTGGTCGTTTGTGCGATTGCTAGTTGGTAGAAACACTTCATTCCCACTGATTAAATGCACTAAATACGCAAATGTTGATTGACACACTCTGACCTCTTGCACAAAGTCACCAATGGCTAAGTGTGGTAAGATGGAAAGCTGTCCAAGTGAGCGAACCAATGGCATTCGTGCAGACATGTAGCGAGAACTAAGTAGCGCACATCGAAGGGTTAGGAGCTTCTGTACCTCCTTCTTAGTCGTAGCCGGCAAAGTTGGATTGCACGTCACAAGCGTTCGAACCATGCCATCGAGGTCGTCCAATATCGCCGACCTCTCCGACTGCCGTGGCATTTCCAGCAACTGATACGGATAGATGAAAACGGTTGGTTCTATTTTGACTCTCCCTTGCCTTTCCTGCCTTCGCAACTTACTTTTCAGATTGGGCGAAAATCGAAAATGAGTGGAGAATTTCAAAACTGACTCTCCCAATTGACTTGCGTTTGATTCGGACTGAGGATTATAAAAATGCAGCTAACGTTACCAAGCTCAAGTTGTAAATCATCACATGAGATATGCTACAAACGACACAATCAAAATTCGGCAAATCAATGATGCAGTAGTTTACGTTACTGGATATGGGGTGTTTCTTTCAGAATCATAGGGCACTGTCTACACTGGACGCCAAAATCGGAGTGTTTACCAACCTTTCAGGAGCTTCTCACAAGGAATCGATAAAATGTGGCCATTCTATTATACAGTTGGATAGTGTAGTCGACCCCTTAAATCCGTTCAGCATCGTTATCAACTACTAGTTGTGTTGCGCTCGACAAAGCGCATAATGTTATCTGGGGTTGCTTTCATTCAATCCGTTCACAACACTGGCGTTGGTGCCAACTCAGCACGTGAACTCCATCGAATCGGTGCCATTGCAGTCAGTTTATAAAGTGTACACATTGTCCGATGCTTCGTCACCTCGCTTCCTGCTTGGCTTGTCCGTTCGCACTAGGTCAGCTCACACAACAACGCTAACCGAGTGGATTCTATATTTAGGTGAGATTGGAGCACACATTGCATATCGATGGTATGGCGAGGCCTTTTCCGGGCGTTGGGTTCGGCTACAGGAGTCAAGCTGGTGTCTGCTGCCTCGTGGAATGATTTGGGGGCGTTAAAGATGCTGCATTGGGCGACAGGGGGGCCTTCGTGGACGACTTCATTGTAGGGAGTTGATAACGCAGAGGAAATTGTAAACTGATTGATTGGCGTTATCTACATGCATGACTACTCTGACTATACTATATCTAATGCTACTGTATACATACGTAATATTTTTAGACATCAATGTTCGCTGTAAGCATCATGAGACGACGCGGCCCTGCACGTACAGCGCCGCGTTTGAGCCACTGCTCTACCCCCTGCTCCTGTCCCGCTGGGTCTTCCTTGGCCACATCCTCCGGTGGCCCATTGACGCCCCGGCCTACAAGTTCATGCTCCGATATTTCAGCTTTTCCGTCGCTGAGCCTTGGCCTGATCGCCCCATCACGTCTTTGCATCGCGTCTTGAACGCTGCCGAGCAGATCGTCACCGCATGTCCCACTATCCCCCAGCACTCAGACGTCTAACGTCCGATGTATGCGAAGTCCGCTAGCTGTAGTCGCAGAAGATTCCTTCGTTAGCTGATAAACGCAAATAAACGTCACTATACATACATAATATAGGTAACAGATATAATGTGGTTCACTGGTTGTGAGCCACGATTTCTGAACAACGAGCTGTGGAGGCCATAGGAAGCTCGACGAGGGGGTGGGGGGTTGTACATTTCGTTGTCAGATTAGACAAGCAAAAGCTTGGACAAACCTGGGGTGAATTTGCATTTAAATTATTTCCTGTCGTCGACGTGAAATTACAGTTTTAAATGCCACCAGCATGTGGCCGTGGGTAAAGCGTCACGGTCCTGAATGCGTATGTATGTTCTTGTCGAGTACAGTATGTATTGGTAAGTTTTAGCTAGAACGTGCTTGTAGAATATTCTGCACCACATCTCAATGACTACTACTGTATATTATACTACTGTAGTATAGTAGGTAGTCATAACCGGTGAGAGAGGGTGACCCCCTGCTGGAGGTCCAAAACTTTAAATCACCTGTTCTGGGGGAAATTGAATAACGCCGGATAAACATCCGGATACATGATCAGTAGAGTAAGGGGGTCCACAGCCACAGAATTTATCCGTACTTGACTTGAGCTTAAGCGGGTTCGCTGTTGATCAATCACTTCATTTTTACCTTCTCCTCATGACATCGTTTGTTTGTTTCGCATGAATATTTGCTCATTACCATGGAGATGCATTTCACGGAGGACACTGCGACCGCCGAGGACTATGTCGTCGGTAGCGTGATCAACACTGTGAAGGGGTGTAGGGGTTTCACGCGTGCTTTTTGGGGTATTTACTCGTGTCGCGTATTTGGAACAATTTTTGGGGGGTTCACGCGTGCTTGAGGTTTTCACGCTTGCTGGATTACTTGCGCGTGCTTTTATTGACCGATAAACATGAAAAATCGTGTTGCTGGTCCGGACCATGATTATTATGACAAATCAAGTACAGTATGATACGGCGTGACATACTATCACGATCAATACAAGACCAATTCCAGTCATACTTCAACTGGTCCCACCACTACGAGATGCCCTCAGAAATAGGATCAGTCCCGTACACACATACACGGTCATACCTCATGATCGATAACATCACGTCGGGCCACGACCACGTCTATCTCGGCCAATACTGGTCCAAATTCACTCATTCTTCGCCGGCCCCACCGCTGAGTGTTGCCCGCATAGGTGGGACCGCCTTGTTCACGTTGACATGGGCTCGCCTCCCCATGGGCGTGCTAGACTAACCATGTTCTTCATCACTTTAGACATGACCTGCTCTATGCCGGCCTATTATGGTAGAATTTGGATGCTTGTTAATGCTGTACACTACCACTACGAACAATAGATAGAATGAGCTTATGCTACATAAACCTCAAATTTCTCGTGGCACCCTTGGATCAGAAGGGCGGCTCGGGCCGGGGGGTTTCGAATCTTAAGAATTGAGGGAGACTTCTTAAGAAATGCGGACACCTGTTTCAAAGATATGTACATCCCTCTATTTCCAGATATCGTAATGAAACGTTCATTGCAGAAACTGCTTCCTTCCTCAGTCAGATCTGTTTTAACTTATGAACCTCGAAGGTGCAGCAAGCGGTGATGGCGACAGTTGCGGAAGCGGATCTGAGTCTGACCTGACCAACGTACCTCAGCAGCAGCAATGCGGAGTCCAGTAGTAGTTAGAGGTGGTCATGGCTGTTGGGATAACTGACGCCTGTCATGTAGCGAACGGTGATGGCGACAGTTGCGGAAGCGGATCTCAGTCTGACCTGACCAACGTACCTCAGCAGCAGCAATGCGGAGTCCAGAAGTAGATAGAGGTGGTCATGGCTGTTGGGATAATTGACGCATGTCATGTAGCACGTCCGAGAGATGACAAGACCACGAATGCATCTACGGTACTGGTCCCACCTATGAGGGCATCACTGAAGAATGAATGTATTTGGACCAGTATTGGCCGAGATAGAGTGATTAGATGGCGGCGACGATCGCCGACAGACGCAAGCAGCATGATTGTACTAGCTGTCAAAATTGTTCAGTAAAATAGCTTATGTATGTCTAAATATTTACACGCGCAAGTCCCCCGATTCCATAAAGTTGTTATTGAGAAAACAACTTTATGGAATCGGGGGACTTGCGCGTGTAAATATCGTGATTCCCCCAGTTTTCATAACACAAGTAAACCCCCCAAAAAGCAGGAGTGAAAACACTTTTTCCACTGTGAAGGTTCATGATTTTGGAAGTTTCGTCGTACTGTGTGAGAGATTGAATGCATTTTCTTTGAAACAAGGCTGTCGTGTAGCACGAAAGTATCGTAACAAAATCACTCGAAAGTGGGTTTGTTGTAATGAGGATTGTGATTTTGCAGTTCGAGCGTCAATGCGTGTGGACAAGTCTGTTTCTATAACTACCATGAACTTGTTGCACAACCACCCCCTTTTCCAAGCCTCGGATCGAATCGCCACCCCAGTATGACGAAGTCTGTGGTGAGAATTTTGTAGTTTTGAATTTATGAAAGTTACATAACTAATTTAACTTCTATTAGTACTACTAGTACTACCGGTAGTACATACTCAGATTACTGTATGTTTACTGCACCAAACTACATCCACTAAATGATACTGCGTAGTACTACATAGTAGTACTGAAGTATGTACAGTTCAATGAATAGTACCTCAATATCTACTACTTGTATTAATACTTCGAAGTAGTACTACGTACAGTAGTAGTACTAGTATTATACTAGTAGTTAATACTAGTATTACGTACGAATGCAGTTTGCATAACGTTAGTGTTTTACGGAGCACAGCATTATTGCGATCTGTACGGAATGAAGTTTTGGTTTTGCGCTCAACAACTGTACGTAGTACTCCGGAGTACCTCTGTCCCGGTTTAAGTGCAACAATCAGCGCATTTGAGATACGAACCCCATAATTTTCAAAATATCTGAAGCAAGTAGTATATTTTGAAAGAGGAGAACGCCCAGAATCCAACCATGTCAAATTCCAATCAACGAGCAACCAATAATATAAAGAATCCATACTTTAACGGTAATAATAATAAAGCAATAGTCAAATACCAAACATTTCCGGATACATGTTGAGCGCATCCGTACATACACATTCAAAACAGTATTTATGCTCCAATTTCGATCAAATCGGTGGCAAAATCAAGGTTTTGATTGGTTCTATCGTTTGGCGCTTCAAAATTACCAACAAATAGTTACGGCGAGCCTGCGCTCGTGTCTGCAAGAAAGTTCGGCATCTTGAAAAATGCAACCAAACGATAAGCCAAACCTCCCCGACGCGACAGAGTGTCCATCGTCCAACACCTCCTTGCTCGCATGGTCGGTGGCAAACTGCCTCACGGGCATTTGTTTGCGAGTAGCAAGGCGAACGATTTGACGGACCTCGCGGCGAGTCGCCTTCCCGTCTTCATTTTTGCAAGCTGCAGCTCCAGACTGCGCGTAAATGTTCGAACTAACTTGTCACGTCGTTGGAGCTCCTGGGCAATCCTTCGATAGCTCTTTTTGAGCTCGATAGCTCTTTTTGAGCTTGAGAATGGCCAATATTTGCCCCCTTTTGGTCAGTGATCTGCTTGCCCTGTGGCATGGCTAGGTTATCGTTTATGGAACCTGTGAAGCCGAGGGGTCGATCAGACGTGTACGTAATCATTATTTAACTACCCACTGATTGGCTAAAATTGTCGAAATTAAGACGAATGAGGAACTGCGTCTATAGTTTTTGGTCAAATATTTTTTGAATTTTCAACTTTACAGTCGACACATCGTGTACTAGCTGAAATCGCTCCGTGGGATGCCGTTTCGAACAGAATTGGTACAGCTTGACCTTGAAGTGGACGATGGCGACGACGAGGTTGATATCTTGAGAATTCTAGATTTAAACAATGAATAATAATATCTTGCACTTTGTATTGTCATGAATTGTGTTTATTCAACTGTAACAGTAGTACAATGTTGCAGTTATTATAGGACTTCAAGAATTGTCATTGTTGCACTTAAAGCGGGACAGAGGTAGTACCAGGTACTACGTCGTACGAATATAACGTAGTAATGCAAATGCAGTGGCTCATTCGGTGATAGCGTAAATAATCATTGATTTTGCCGAACGTCTTGCCCAATAGGATGTCAGCATTGATATCATTGGATAAAACTATTGACGGCAGCAATGACACCCTTTCCAATACTTTAATCAAATCTATATTTCGGTATATCCATGATCACTGTTGGAGTGGCTATCTTTGCAATTTTATTACTTCAATTCCAAACATTTTAATTACCTTCTATTTGAATCTAACTAACAATAAAGAGCTTGGACTAACGTATTATTCAACATACTGTACGTCATAATAATCTTTAATGAAGTAACTTAAGTAAGGTATTTCCAGTTGAATAAACAGAACATATTAAACGAACAGTTCTGAACATTGTTTATGTTAATTTAAGTGAGATAACATTAAAGATACGTCATAACAATCCTTCAAGATATGTGCACTGGAATACGACCAAGTATTCGTCCAGTACATTGAATATGTTATTCAAGTGAAGAACGTCCGAAATGCGTAATAATAATCCTTCAATATATACTATATGTGCAGCTGAAGGTGCAGTAACGTCGCAAAGTATACGTATACAGTACATTGTTCTCCTTCATTTCCAATTGGAGGTAGTATAAGTCAATCAAGAGAAGTAAATTCCAAAACAGGAATACTCGTCCATACAAAATCGATAGAGAGATTTGGCGATACCAGTACTACAAAAGTAGTGCGCACTACAAGCATCATAAAGTAATAGAACGATTCACAGGGAGACTGCGCCCAAAGCGTAAGCTGTATGCAATAGTATGTACCACATGTTCATGTTGTATGTTTGTCACATATACTGTAAATACCTCAAGATCGTTGCAGTGAGTAATGTAAAAAGTGTTCAATAGGGGAAGATTATTTACAC